AAATTTGGGCTCTCGGTGGATCATGTTGTCGATGCGAAAATTGTTGATGTGAATGGAAGAATCCTCGACAGAAAATCGATGGGGGAAGATCTTTTCTGGGCAATTAGAGGAGGAGGGGGAGCAAGCTTTGGAGTTATTTTAGCCTATAAAATCCAGTTAGTTCCGGTGCCTGAAATAATAACAGTTTTCCAGATCCCAAGGACATTGGAAGAGAACGCTACTGACATTGTCTATCGGTGGCAACATATTGCGCCTAAAACTGACAGTAATCTTTTTATGAGACTTTTGCTGCAACCCATTTATTCCAAACAGAAGAAGACAGTCCGAGCCTCTGTTTATGCTCTGTTTCTTGGAGGGGTCGATCAGCTTCTCTCGATACTGACAAGGGATTTTCCTGAATTGGATTTGAAGAGAGAAGACTGTATTGAAATGGGTTGGATTGAATCTGTGGTCTGGTGGGCTAATTATGAACATGGAACATCCCCCCATGTGCTGCTCCACAGAAGTCCTGACCCAGCTTACTTCCTGAAAAGAAAATCTGACTACGTCCAGATTCCCATCTCCAAAGATGGGTTGGAATTGCTTTGGAAGAAGCTGATGGAATTGGATAAAACTGGGTTGGTTTTCAATCCATATGGTGGACAAATGAACCGAATCTCTGCTACGGATACAGCTTTTCCTCACCGAGCTGGAAACTTGTTCAAAATCCAGTACTCAGTAAACTGGAAAGAGCAAGGGGCTGAAGCAGACAAGAGCCACACAAGTCAACTACAATTGCTTTACAATTTCATGACCCCGTTCGTTTCCAAGAATCCAAGAAGGGCTTACTTCAATTATAGGGATCTAGACATTGGCATCAATCATAATTATAATGCGGCGAACAGTTTCGAGGAAGGGCGAGTTTATGGAATCAAATACTTCAACGAGAACTTTGAAAGGTTGGTTCAGGTGAAGACTGCGGTGGATCCACAAAATTTCTTCAGAGACGAACAGAGCATCCCCATTCTTCCAAGTAAGACATAACATAGGAATCAAACACCAACACAATCATTGACACAACAGACTCTGCACCTTTGTGTCTGGCTGTCTGTGTGAACCATCCATGGCTTCTTCTTACGGTCTGCATGTGCTTGGTTCTGCAAATTCTTAGGCTTCGGATTGACTGTAATGGGTCATAGACGAGATGTGAGTATATATTTTCTTTGCGAACCAGCTGAAGGTATAATGATTACATTATAGCTTGTGGCATGGAGTTGTAACCAAACTAGGTGAAACGTTTCATTGCATCTATTGAAGTCAGAAAAGTGTTGTAATTAGCACAAGTTATGGAGTTCTTAGAGTTTTCTTAAATGGACCATAATTTTCATTGAATTCTAAGTTGCCCTTTGCTTGAAAGCGTCCCCTTTAGAGTTTAGAGTACTAAACCAAAATCTCTATCTCTTACTCATTGGGAAATTGTGAAATGAATCCAGCAAAAACATGTTTGGCCAATCTTAGCTTTTACAAGCGACCTAATCACTGCTCTCTAAGACCCTTTCTGATAACTGTTCTTTAGAACAAGGTATCAAACAATCCCTATGTTCTGGGTTAGGTGCCCTTGGAAGACATATGAACATAACTAGTTTACCTATTTTCAATCCCCATCTTCGGAATTAAGTCGAGAAATCTGTTTCCATTAATTTCCATCCAGTTATAGGGGAGGAAGACATTTTTATCTCTCACTGAATCTACGTTCTCTTTGATAATTGCAGAGCTCCGATCTTCTTCTGGTTTGGATTGGAGTAGAAGTTGGGGGTTGACCATGGTGGCCATAATGTTCACAGCCAAGCTATTATAGACTCACTTCTCAGAGGCATTGGAATGAATGAAGCCTCAAACTATTCTTTATTGCAGGAAGAAGAGGAGGAGAATTGCCTGTTAACTGTGAAACAAGACCCGTTATTGAAGAAGCTATTGCTCCACTAGGAATCTGAGGCAATTTCTATGATTGGCTTGAGAAAAGTTCCACAGTCTTCTCAATGAATGGGATTCCACAACATAGAAGAGAACTAGTGGGAGAAGAACAGCAGCACCATGTTTTTCAAGTCCAACCTTTCTTCTCAAGCTTTGATATTCTAAACTTCAAAGCCAGATGACAATTTTGTAATCATCCACTTAGTGGCGGCTTGTAATTATATCATAATGAGTGGCAGTAGTTTAAAGTTGGATCCAATCCTTTTTACCACTTATTCTGATTTGGGTTTTTAACAAATCCTCTTGTGCCACTTCTAGAAAAGTTCATATCTTCATCATCATTCCTTCACAGTATAGCATCTGCATTTTATCCTATATTGGAATAACATACCAGGGTTTGAAATCAACTTTTTCCTTCCAATATTGGAATACTAAGATCCATTAAGTTTCTTTCGTAACAAAATGAATGTGTAAGAGAAGTCATTTAATTTGTGAAAGGTAAGAACTTCCAATACTTTCCCTTGCACTAATTTCCAAAGTCTTAATTTGCAGCTAAAGAACTTACTTAATCTGATTCAATGATAAAGGCCAAACCCCACCATCTGAACCTCAACCATGTAAATCTCTTCCTATTACAGCCAACGTCATTTTCATTTACCTGTTTAAGGGTTTGGTCCCTCTCATTAAGATCTAAGAACATTATAATAATTAATTTGCAGGGTCGAAATAATTTATTGCATACAACTGCGCCTTGGAATCCTATATTTCAGAATACAAATTTCGGAGTAAGACAAACAGAATATCTATGTTTTACTCCCGAAATGAGTCACTTTCATTTTTGCTTCACGTTTGAACAGACACAAGTCGGCTGACGTTCCTTAAAGACATGGATTAGTGAAGTTCTGCTTTCTTTAAGGAATGTGTAGCGTACAAACAAAAACAACAGTTGATCTAGCTAGGATCCTACTGTTCTGATCCATTTCCTGCATGACGTTTGTATTAGCTCAACTTCCCATTAATGCCACTTGCTTAGCCAAGCTTGAAACTTTTCCTTCCCTATATATGACTTCCCAAACAACTGATTCTTGGCATTCCTCAGCACAAAGAAAATTTGAGCCTTTTGTTGTTAGCTATGGTGTTTCCTAAGTACAAATCTGTTGTGGGTTCTCTGTTTCTTGTCTTTCTGCTTTCATCTTCTTGTTGGGTTGATTCCGCTTCGCTTGAGGAAAGTTTCCTTCAATGTCTCAATGAGAATTCTCAGTTTTCTGTCCCCTTCTCGTCTTTCTGTGCTCCAAACAATGCTACGTTTAATGCTCTTCTGCAGTCAACCGCTCAGAATTTGAGGTACTTGGAAACTTCAGTGCCAAAGCCTCTGTTTATCTTCACCCCAGCGTATGATTCCCATGTCCAAGCAGCTGTTATTTGCTCCAAACAGCTCAAGATTCATCTCAGAGTTCGTAGTGGAGGCCATGACTACGAGGGCCTCTCTTATGCTTCTGAAACTGAGACATCTTTCATGATTCTCGATCTTGCCAAGCTCCGATCGATCAAAGTTGACATTGAGGGTAACAGCGCGTGGGTTCAGGCTGGGGCAACAATCGGTGAAGTTTATTACAGAATTGCTGAAAAAAGTAAGGTTCATGGCTTCCCTGCTGGGCTTTGCACAAGCCTGGGTGTTGGAGGTCATATAACAGGTGGTGCATACGGTCCTATGATGCGAAAATACGGCCTTGGTGCTGACAATGTCGTTGATGCACGGATTGTTGATGCAAATGGGAGAATTCTTGACAGAGAAGCCATGGGAGAGGACGTGTTTTGGGCAATTAGAGGAGGAGGAGGTGGGAGCTTTGGAATTATTCTATGGTGGAAGCTAAATTTGGTTCCTGTTCCATCAACTGTGACTGTTTTTACAGTAGCAAAGACATTAGAACAAGGTGCTACAAAAATCCTGTACAAATGGCAACAGGTTGCAGATAAACTAGACGAAGATCTGTTCATCAGAGTCATTATAAACGTGGCTGCAAATGCTGATAAAAAGAAAACTGTGAGCACAGCTTACAATGCCCTCTTCTTGGGAGATGCGAACAGACTCCTCAAAGTTATGGGAGAGAGCTTTCCTGAATTGGGTTTGACAAGGAAAGACTGCATAGAAATGAGCTGGATCAAATCAGTTCTTTACATTGCTGGCTTCCCAAGTGGAACTCCACCAGAAGTGCTTCTCCAAGGGAAATCCACGTTCAAAAACTACTTCAAAGCCAAATCAGACTTTGTGAAAGAGCCCATTTCAGAAACAGGTCTTGAAGGACTCTGGAAAAGGCTGTTTGAAGAGGAAAGCCCATTGACGATATGGAATCCTTATGGAGGTATGATGGGTAAAATTTCAGAGACCGAGATTCCATTTCCGCACAGAAGAGGAATCCTATTCAAGATTCAGTACCTAACTCTATGGCAAAAAGGAGACAGCAATCAAGAAAAACACCTGGAATGGATCAAGAAGCTTTACAATTACATGACACCTTATGTTTCTCAGCTTCCAAGAGAAGCATATGTGAATTACAGGGATCTCGATTTGGGAATCAACAAGAAGGGCAATACCAGCTACATCGATGCGATCGGTTGGGGAACTCGGTATTTCAAAGAAAACTTTGGTAGATTGCTGAGAGTTAAGACTAAAGTTGATCCTGATAACTTCTTCAGGCATGAACAGAGTATTCCACCTATTCCAACTTCTGCAAGTTTTAGAAGCTTTGGCTCTTCCTCAAGGGAATTTGATTAGAGTTGTTTGAAGCATCATGTGTTTGACGTGTTTGCTTTTTCCATCCTTTTTAAGTTTGTGACTTGCTTGAGCTAAGTGCAATAAGATACTGATAAAACTATTATGAAATGATGCAATGAACCTTGGATTCTCTTAAGAAAAGGATGAATGTAAATCAGAACAATGAAAAGCTATCAGTTTCCACACAAGATGATGATTAGATAACATAACAGTTTTAGTATTTTAAGATTTCAATGGATATATGAATAAAAGCCTTTTATACCATGGAAAGACTAAAAAGCATACCATATGTTTTCTCTTTAATTATTTCTTAAGTTGAAAATTTGAAAGACAAGAGTGTCTGAGTTCAATAAGTTCGTAAGATTTCACTTCAAAATCTCAGTAGTATCAAACTCATAGCTGCTTCATGGCAGCACCGGGCGGAGGAGTCACCTGAAAACGACGACGGCATCTGTTGAAGTGATCTCCTGCACCTTCATGAGAACCATCGCCAGCTTCTGATCTCTATCCTTTCAGCTTATTCGGTTCGGACTCAGATTTATGCCAAAAAGAAAAACTTGGGCACAGAACTAATCTCCTTCAGCTTTCGTTCTTTCCTGGCAAGATATGGCTTGCCCAGCCTGGAGATAGTAAGAGAACCAAAAACAGGGCACAGTGTTCCAAGTCAATGTCATTTTTTCCCCATAATTTTCAGCAATTAAAAGATAATGTCATATTGAATCAACTCAGAACGGGCATAAATACAGAATTCAGCAATAATTAATAATAATATGGGAGCATAGCCGACTCTTCCATAATTAGACTAAATGGAATCCCTATACAAAACCTTCCATCCCTGAAATTTTACAGCACAAGGCTGACACAATCTTCTAACTCACTCAACATTGCCATGATGCAGCAAATAGACTGGAGAATAAGGAATCCAAGACAAAAATATGTACTTGACATCACCGGAACTTGCTTGCCTTGAAAGCTTTGCTACTTTGTATATCTAGTCTTCTCAATAGTAGCTACTTTTGATGCAGGAAGCGTTCCAAATGCCCTGTCCCAAAATGATGAAGTAATGCCGAAGCCTTTAGTCTGGACGCGGAAGTGATGATTCATATGATATTTCTGCACATCGCAATCCAATTGAATGATGTACCCTCAAAACAGAACCAAGATTGAAATGAAATAGCTGACAGGGAATGTAGATGGCTCCGATTCTATAACCTGACCACAAAGACAGGAAAAGTGAGACCAGAAGATGCTCGACATACTGGTGGTAGTGTGTACCAAAGCGACTCCGATTCTCTGGTAAACTTCACATTCTCACTCCGTGATCTAACTTGACCATCGGAGTTGCTTTGATCCACACCAAACTAGTGTGCCGAGCATCTTTCGATCTCGCTCTTTTCTGTCTTGTAGACTATAAGATAGACGGTATCACCATCTACAGTGAAGAACATTGAGCCATTGGATTGTATAGAATGTGGGTAGATAATGCAGTGCTTTACCTTCAAATGTTTTGGCACATCGCCCGTGGGTTGACCATGATGCAGGTAGTAATGGGTAACATCATACATCACATAACCCAACAGACCACCTCCAAACAGAGCAGGAGCTATAGATGGTGGGGCAAAGAGTTTAACCAAATTCCATAACTGTCAACAATGGATAGAAAAGATATAATCAGAGCAGGAGCTATAGATGGTGGGGCAAAGAGTTTAACCAAATTCCATAACTGTCAACAATGGATAGAAAAGATATAATCAACGGACAACGATTTTATGTGAAGAGAACAATTAGACTGTCAAGGCATTACGATATGCTTGTTTCAAAATAACTCTTGACACTTCTCTTTGATTGCTTGCTAATGTACTACTGCATCTTTTGGCATCAGCGAATTGAAATCTTCCAGAATTCAATATTAAGAAAACTTCAAATCCAAGAGTGGGATGGAGTAGACATACTGGAACTATTAGAACGGCAGTTGCAGCAGGAGGAAAAACAAGTCGCAGACCATCCATTGGGTGCTTGTGGTGGCAACCATGAATAAGATAATGCATGGTATTTCCCCTAAAACATGTTAACAGTGTAATTACCATATTCCCTAATTTTCATAATAAAAAGCACTCAACCAAAACTGTACACAGGAGAGAGAGACTAACCAATAACTCTTGGTTTTAATATGGAATAGAAATCGATGCACTGTGTATTCAAACAATGTCCAAATAGAAATGCCAAATATCACCATCAAAGTTATCTGAGGAAGTGTGTGGCCCATATTGACAGACGTGGAAATGAACCAGCAGACCACTGGCAGCCATACAAGTGGAATCACCCACCATGCTGTGCGTGTCAAGAACTGTTTCCAGATCGAAAACGTATCAAAAGCAATCTCGTTGAAATTTTATATTCTCTGAAATCTAGAAAATGTCATCAAAAATCATCACCTCCCAAAAGTCACTTTTGAAGAATCTAGGCCCTTCCCTACTGACAATAGGCTGGTGAACCCACTCCTGATATGCTTCTCCAAGATTGCCAACCTACGAAAGTACAAACATAACTAAGTGATTTTCCATTGAATTTATAAGGAACTTATGGTGGAATTGGGCAGGTTGGTATCAAGTACAAAGGAAAACTATCGATTGAAAAGTGAATTAGAACCCAAAGAAGCCCTAACCAGTATTCGTGAATTCAAGCAAAACTACTTAATGAGGAAAACATGTCATTCGTAACACCCAAAAATACTCTGCTTAACCATCCCCACAGACTTACATATAAAACTCATAAGACTCGACATTAACATAACATAATATAGTTTGGTCTATTTTAGTTATATGAGGCACATAAAAATCTGAAGGCATGGTGACAGTATAACTTACCTGGAACACGAGTGGTTTGTTCAGATCCACAGTAAATTCCTGTGAAACCATCGTGATACTTCTCAGTAGGTTTCAGTGGCCTGAGACATTATTATTAAAATGGATCAAGAAAATTCAATGTTGAAACTCAACATTTTAATATATCAATAAAGTAAACTTTTATCGGCTCAGTCTTGGATAATATCAATGATAATCTAATGATACTAGCTCAACTATGAGCATTGTTAATTATCTCAGTTTTTAGTTAAAACATGCTATCCATCACTACAACCTCAACGAAAAACAAATAAGTAAATCACCACGTCAAATTATGAGCAACATGCAGAGCTTGTTCATCGTTGACCATCTGGCTTCATAAGGTAAAAATCAACATCCCCAAATACAATTTGAGATAAGAGCTTATCGCTCTCAAGTCTCAACAACTCGCTAACAGATAAGTAGATAATTGATTTTGGCGTCATTTCCAAAACATTCAAGCTCCGCTTGGTTAATTGGAGCAAACGTGCCAGTTTTCCAAGTTATAACGCTAAGATTCAAGTTCTCTTATATGAATTCTTCACTATATATACATAGGCAAAAATAACAATTTAATCTATAAATTGAACACTCCTTTCAGAACCAAACATGAAACCTCGCTATGCCCATTATTCTGCTTTCGGCTCTTCATAACCATTTCCAATCACAGAACCCAAACCAAAAAAAAAAAACCCCACAAAACAACGAACTAAATGAACAAAACCCACGAACAAAGAACCCGCATTTAACGATTACGTTCAAAGCAGAGAGAAAACTGGAAAGGAAAAGTAGCAGATCTATTGTATTAATAGGAAAAAATGGAAATGCAGGAGAAGAAAAGCACGAACCGAGTAAATGAAAATGCAGGAAGGAAATGAGAGGCAGAAAGCGTTGATTGGTTGAATGGTGCTTCTTGTTCTTAGTTCATTTCATGGTTGAAAATTGAAACTGAAAAGAGAGATTGAGTAGAAGAGGAGATTTTTAGGGGCAATGTGCGTTGTTTATAGGGGCAGCGCGGGAGCCAAGAGAGAGACAGATTTGTACCGTTGAATCAATCAGATGCGAATCACCCACCGCTCAAAATTCAACCTTTTTTCCTTTTTTCCCTTTTTCAGGATGAGATTCAACCATTTCACTGCGTCGTATTATTTATTTCCAAAATTATGATTCTATCATTACCCTTTTTTTCCAGAGTTTGAAATTTCCACATCACATCTCCTTCAGCTTTCAAAAAATTATGAGAAACTATTGACCTAAAAAAAAAAAGAAAGAGAAACTATCAACTTATTATAGTTATTACAATTTTTTTTAAATAAATAAGCCCTATGCAATCTCTTATACCATTCTTAACTTATCAAATTTAGATTTCAATTCTTTATCCCATTTCTAGTTTTTTAAAACTGTAATTAGATTTGATTTTTTCCATTTTTTTTTTAGAATATCACATAAGAAAAAAATATGTATGACATTTTAGAGGAAGTAAAAATGCTATCACCACTTAACTAGATGTTGGCATTTGTTTTTCACGTTTAAGAGAATTTGAATTGAAAATTTAGTTTATGTTATCGATAATTTATTTCCCTAAAATTTATGATAAAATTATAACGGTGGTTTGTGTGAGTTTAGTATTTTGATTACACCATAACACTAATGAAATTGCCAAGGTAATATTTGTTTTACTTTTTACTCTTTTTTTTTTTAGAAATAAGTTTGTTCCATAATTTATGATTTTGAAATCCTAACAAAATTTGAAAATTTACCAAGATTACCAAAATCTTTGTTATTTAAAAAACTGTTACTAAATAACTTTTTTTTTAATAAAATAGAAAGTACAAAATAAAATGTTTTTACAATCCTTAAAATTCAGCTGAAGTAAAATTTAATGAAATTATAAACCATGAAAAGTTTTAAGTTAAATCATAAATTTAGTCTTTTTACTTAAAACGTGTCACTTCAATGACCAATAACAAAGGTTAAATAGAAAAACTTTTTAAAGATCATCTTTTAAAGTCAACGGATCAACTAAGTAGATGGAAATTAAAAATAGCTACAACGAGTAACCTTTATTGTTTATTTATGGTTACTTAGGGTCTAACTTTAATGGACCGTTTGTTTGGTGGAAATTTAAAATGCCCATGAGATATCCTTAATTCTCATCTTTGTTTGATGGTAATGTAGGATGCCTAGTCATCTTAAGATGTTCATACGGGAGCATCGAAGGAACTTTTGATGTCCTACCGGTTACAAGATTTTTCATGTTGAGGGTCTCTCCTAACGACAATTTTTTGTCCCCTACTTGCTGCATCTTGCAATTTGCAAATGCAGAAACATAATATAATCCTCATTCAAGTGTAGTTGAAGGTCATTACAGTATTCGGCAAAGGCTTAGCGCCCAAAAAATATATATATAATGGCTGTCAAAGCATGAATTTGATGCTCAAATGTACAAAAATGGAAGAAGCAACTCAAAACAAAACAAAAAAAAAAACATCTGGTGATGACATGATATTTGTGCAACCAAACCAACATCATCATTTGTTTTTCTGAATGGTTTTGGTTGTAGGGTATGTTCCAAATGCTCTGTCCCATAAAGGGGAAGTGATACCAAATCCCTGGCTTTGAACTCTGAAGTGATGGTTCAAGTGATATCTCTGTTCAACACATTACAATCATAAGAAATCTTTCCTTCTGAATTCTCAAAAACAGATAGAGTGAGAGAGTCTTAGTCTTCTATTACCTTCATATTCTGAGACAACCCTGAGGTTGGCTTTCCATGATGCAGGTAATAATGAGTTACGTCGTACATTACATATCCCAGCAACCCACCTCCGAACAACGTGGGAGCTACTGCTGGAGTCGATGTAAGTCTAATCACGATCCACAGCTAGGCTCCATAAGAAAGGAGATAACAAGTCATATCATTCCTCGAGTTATCAACGTCAGCACAAAACTAGATTCATGAAGCAGCGGCATATTGCATACTTAGATTGCACATTACTATACAGATCATTACTTCATTGACCATCCTACGAGTAACAGTTATCATAGCCAATGCAGAAAGATAAAGCCCATCTTTCAAAATCAGTACTTTTATTTGGATCAAACTTGTGAAGTTAGGGCCAATCCTTAAGGGTTCCTCTTTCTAAAGTATATGAAAATGCAGTCAAGCTGGCTGGCACACAGTCCCACAAGGCGGTATGTATAATTGGTTCATGAAAATGTATCATTTACTACAGTAACATGGATGCTACTCTCATTCATTGTTAGTATGAACGGAGGGTATGTTACCCCAAGCTGAATTTTGGGAACTTACCGGCACACTTAAGATAGCTGTTGCAACAGGTGGGAAGACAAGTCTGAGTCCATCCATTGGATGCTTGTGATGACAGCCATGAAGTAGATAGTGTAGAGTGTTTCCCCTGAAACAGGTTGTGACATCATCAATGTCCTTGAACTCACCATTCATCGTTGTGAGACTGAGAGAGAGACAAAGAGAGATAAAAAAGTACCAATAGCTTCTTGTTTCCATGTGGAAAAGAAAGCGGTGCAGTGTGTACTCAAGCAAAGTCCAGATGAAAACCCCACCAGCCAAACATGAAGCCACATCAGAGGGAGTAAGGCCCCTCGACAAAGACACAGAAGCCAACCAGCAAATCACTGGTAGCCAAACAAGTGGAATCACCCACCATACTGTGCGCGTCAACATCTGTTATTACAAAGTAAAAGAAGTAAGAAATCAAAGGCAAGCCTCTCATTAGTCATTTTAGAAAAAGTTATATATCAACTATCACATCTACGAATTCACAGTAACTTATTTGATCAGCTTCACAGACATCTTCTCCATGGTACTTGGTAGTAAGCACAGTATATGAGAAGATTATTTGTCCATAAGGGAAAGGATCTTCATTCTTCCTAGTACATTGCTAGAATGTGTACAGGAATTTTTACACAGTTCTTCATGGAAATTTCAAATTGTGAGCAATTTTTTTGGTTAAAAAAACCAGAGTAGCAAATATATTAACGAGCAAAATATTAGATGAAGATTGCTAGTATGACCACCAAAAAAGCTTATGCATGGAAAGTAGTTTTAGTCCTTAAGACCATCTGATATTGGATTTATCTTCATGCTTAAGGTTGAGTGACAGCATATAGTTATAAAGAATTGAACTAAAACCTCCATAAAATCATTTCCAAAAAATCGAGGGCCCTCCTTGCTAACTATAGGCTGGTGAACCCATTGATTGTAGGCTTCTCCAAGATGGCCAACCTGTAAACAAGTCCATCATTTAGACAGCATTTAAAGAAGACTAAAGGCAGGGAAACTTATACTTCAACTGAGAAGTGCACAACCAAGCAACTTAGCATAGTAGTTATATAATCAAGACAAGAACTCTCTAAGGTCATCTTAGAAACAAGAAAGAATAGAAGTCCTTCTTGACCCTGGTAAACATAGAGATTGGTAGATCTTAAAAGGACAATAACTTTAAAGAGCCTAAATGACGGTGACTTATTTGCATTTGACAGCTCCGTTTTAACGTTGCATATGATGTCAATTTTGCAGGAAATCAGGGAATATGTATTAAGGAGAAAAGGCTGGAGGCTAACCTGAAAAACGAGAGGCTTGTTTAAATCTACAGTATACGGCTTCGAGGCCATCTTGGAATATCCTTACTGAGTGGTGCTAAATTTAATATTTTACAGAAGGGAAAATGAAAGATAAGAAAGTTAGCCAACAGTAACAAAAATAAACTTCGATTTGCAAGTACAAACAAACATAATGGAACAATTCAAATGACACAATTCAAATAACTTTCAACAACTTAAACATTTCATCTCCTTCCTTTACCCCTTTCTCATAGATTAAATAACTGGTTAGACCAACTTTAAAACACCGGCGTATAAGTTTTCCACCAAACTCTTAAAACAGGCATATGGTTAAAAAAATTGGGCTTTTATACAGTGGAGATAGAAAGGCACTTGAGCAGACAAGAAAATTCACAACAGAGTCTGTGGAGTTGAATCCCCTAACGCCCACAAGTTTAAGAAAAAATTAATTGTATTTTGATTTTCATATCTCACAGTCACAGCAACAAAGGTTTTATATGGTCAAATAATCTCAAACGTTTGAACAATATCCTATTTCATTAAGAAATACATACTTTTGAGAAATGTTTTAATTCAGTCTCCAAAATCATTTTTCTGTCAACGAGTAAACTAAACATAAACAATGATGTGACTTTGCATATGTGGCAATTTTATGTGAGGTGACAAGTTTTGTTTATTTTACTATTCTTTTTCCTAAGTGGAAAGAGGCTATATAAGTAAAATAAAAATTGCGTATTATTTAGAATCGATGCTACATGTAAAGCTATATCACCATCAAACAATGATTCTATAGATCAATTTGAATCATCTCTCAAATCCAAAATACTAAAATATCATTTTTGTTATTATAACTTGGAGACTAAAGTGAAAAAGTCTTCAAGCTTGAGGACCAAATTGTAGTTTCCCGAAACATAATTTGAAAATATGCCGCATTGGACAATCCAAAAAGGCAAAGAAAGAAGAACAACACTAAGACACAAGAATCACTCACAGCTGAACCTAATGAGTACCCAGAAGAGGATTAATCCAAAAGAACAAATCAAGATATACCATCCCAATAGGCACGAGCGAAAGAGAGAAGAACGAAGTTTACACTACATTAACTACAGAGGCAAACAAAATACATTCACTGTCCAATTTCAAGAAGAATACCCAGAACAGAACAGGAGTTGATTGAACAAATCGAGGTATTTGAAGGAGAATCTCCCGAATACCAACCTTTTTGGCACAATGCAATCGAGGTGGAGAAACCCAAGAGGAGGATAGAGAAGGATCCGAGCAGATGATTTTGGCTTAGCGAAGACCTTCTCCAAGATTGTCCTCCTCCCGTTTATCACGAGATCTTAGGAATTCTCGGAGCGAAATGTATGAGAGAGAGACTCGTGACGAAAGAAAGCCGAAGAATAGAGAAGAAAACTTGGGTTTTTATAACATTGGGAGGTTCAAAAGCTCCCGCTCCTTTGAAATCGAAATCGTAGCACAGCCTCAGCCCCTGGCCTAAATAGCTGCATTCTCAGCCAGCCGTCCTGCTGTTTTCCCAAATCCCATTCAATTGAATTCGACCTGAAAACCCGCAAAAGAAAAAATGGGTCCTTACAAATTTACTTCCTTTTTTTTCCTTTCAACAAAGGTTTTCGGCCCCATCATGTAAAAACTAAAGCTTGATCTAAAATATCAAAAAAAAAAAAGGGAAGAAGCTGTGGGGGTGATGATGTTAATGGCCTTCATTCACATCATTACTGCCTTGTGGTGGTGTGGTGGAAGATAAGATTCCTCAATCACGTTCATATAATTATTTGATTTACCATTTAAAAAGATGTTTTTTAAATTTTAACCACTCGTATTCTTATTAAGAGAATAATGATTTGACGGTGGTCAAAGAATGAGTCTCGATGGATGCCAATTGCCAAACGAATAACAACGACATCAATATGGCGTTCCGACTAAGCAATATCATTTTTATACAAACGACAAATTTGTTTAGTGCACATATTATCGCAGTTTTGTCCTAAATCGTGTATTTCCATTTTTGTGTCTTTTTACTTCTTTTTCAAATGGAGGGACGGTTTAATTCAGTGAACTTTTTATGTGTTACAGGCTAGTACTAATTGGTAAGATCGGATGAATATATTTACTTAATAAGATGAGCTTTATGGTTCCTTGGAGCTATTTGCATCCTCAAATAGAGAGGTCAAAAATTTATTTGGGAGAATGACTCGATTAGAAGTATGAATAGATTCATCTTAATTGGAGTTTGGTGAAAGACTTGTTTCCATCTTTGTCAGTTAATGCATGACACATGTTGATGTAATATTTTGACCGACGTGAAGTTTGAGTCTCCTGAACTAGCAAATAATATAACCTTGCAACAGTGTAGTGCTCGACCACGTATACTCTAAAGTTCGAGTTGATGTCAAGTTGAACTTAGTAAAATGTATAGAGATTACGTAATTTTGGGAAGGTGGGATCATGCCTTGTATAAGATAAGCATTGAAAAATGTAGCTCTACGACTACAATGTTTGTACCTGTGTCAATCAGTCGATCTTCTATAAGATTTCAGTAGATCCCTCTGCCAACAAAAGTTACATTCTTTCGGCTATCAGCAAATCATCTACTGATAAATTCCTTAGCCCGATGTATGTTTTGCTAGTTTCTCCTCGTCTTCGACTTGTTCGAGCTGAGACATGTTAGAAAGCAAGAGAGGACACGTGTATACTTTGGTTTTCACACCTAACAGCACAAATCCCTAAACATTGCAACCTAGTCTCCCTCTTCTAGAAGTAAGGAGATTAAGACCAAATTTGAGATTTGAGATAGGTGAACTCTCTTATCCCCTTTTCAACTTTGCTTAGCACTATATTGTGTCTTACTTAAAGCATCAAAGCATATTCAACAAGTACCAAATTAGTGTTTGATTCTTCTCTTGCAGTCATTTTCTAATATTCCTCGCATTTCACTACAGGATTTTCATTTGCAAAGGTTGATTTTTATTAGCAAATTTTTAGTCTTTCATATCAATCTTATTGTTCTAATTGCATCATCTTTCAACGTTATCAATTGCTCACTATTTTAATTTTCTGTACTGTTTCATTCTGGTATTCTCATGTCCTTAAATAGCAATAAGCACTTGCAAGTTCATTATTATTAATTTAAAACCAACATGAATCAATGAGAAAAAAAAATTAAAAAAGTTGGATCGACTGGATTGTAGTGTCTCTGGTGCCTAAGTATAGTTAATTAAGAATAAATTTAGATTTCCCAAGCATTAACAGAGCAGACAGAAAGTTTAGATTTTTGAAACTGCAGCAGCAACAAGAGTTGGTACAGAAAATAAAAATAATGTGACATTTATACGAATAATTCACCATAGAAAGTAACCGCATAAAACCATATGTTAAATTTTATTGTGTCTCCCCATACAGCAACAATATCAACTCACCCCTACTGACTCCTTCGTACCATCCAAGTCCCATTATTTTTTTTTTTTTGTTATTTTTTTTACTTCTATATCACTCTGAGAATCCTAAGAACCCTTCTCCTAATTTTGAACATTAGAAATCAATTTTCTCATATTGATAAATACAATTCATGTCTTGAAAACCACATCATTAGTAAACCAATATACAGTCATCGCCATCACTTTCAACCCATCAGATTTGGGAAAGAAAGAGAGGAAAAAGAAGACGAAAAAGGGAATAATCCTAACTTACTCGACTACCCTTTACCCAAATTTCCATTTCTGATGCAGAATTTTGATGAATTTGAACATGAAACACCCTGAAACCGTAAGAACAAGTGCCAGAAATCGGCCCCCCAAAAGCCCCAGAAGAATCATTACCACCACAAGTATACACTCCAATTTCTTCCTCTCTTCTTCTTCTTCTTCTTCTTCTTCTTCTTCCCCTTTCCCGTTAATTTTTACCGTTTCTTCAGGCGTCCAAATCTGATGCTCTTCCCACGCGTCGTGATCTTCATCTTCTTCCTCGCAGCTCCATTCCGGTCCGTGTTCGTTTTCCTGATCGTGATCTTGCGCGCCCGGACCGGGAAATTCGCTGTAGAGTTGTGTTTTGTTCTTGCTCTTGCTGGATTTCACTCTCTTCCCACTCCGCAGCTTCTTCGGTATCAATTTGTTGAATTTCGCTTTCAATTTCGCGCTCCTGCTCCGGTCATTCTTCGCGGCCTGGAATTTGTCTTGGTCCTCGATTTCGCCCTCCTCGTACAGATATCCCAATTTGATCTCCCGGCTCAGAAATTCCTGTTGCAGGCCCTCGTGTTCGTGATCGGAATTCGGTTCGACGACTTGGATTTCGCCGGAGGCAGAGCTCGGCGGCTCTTCCTCTCTTCTACGATCAACAATGAACCCGTCTCGGCGGCGGTCCGCGGCGGTTGCAGTCTCCAACTCCGAGAATAACCGCTTCCAGATCCAAAAGGGATTGGCGAAACCAACCGCGAACTTGCTCAAAATTTGGAGGAGAAAAAGCAGGAAAGCGGAGAGAGTAATCCCGATGGCGAGTTTCCTGGTACTCAGAACCGGAATCACCGCGAGAAACATCTTCACCGCGAGAACAAGCAGAGTACCAGTGGATTCCAATTTGGCGTCGGCATTCGCAGTAGGGAGTTCAAGTTCCGGGGCAGGATGATGATGATGATCGAATTGGGAGGGTCCGGCGGAGGAATTGGGGAGAGGGCGGGAATCGTAATCGGGGGAGGGAGGCGGGGCAAGAGAATCGGAGAGATCGGGCGGGGGGAAGTGTTTGGTCTTCTTGCTCCTCTTGGCGGATTGTCGCTTGATACGGTCGCGATTCTTGACGAAGAGGTCGATGACGGAGGTGGGGAAGCCGGTCTCGACGACGAGGGAGGCGCCGCGGGAGGGGGGCTGGAGATCGGCAACAATCCGGGAAATACGGTTGGTCTTGGTCTTCTTCCATGGAAGCGGCATGGTTATATTCTCAGAAGAAGAGAGAGAGAGATGAATGGGGGAAGGGTTTAGAGAGAGAAGAGGGATTTTATAGCAATGGCGGAATGAATATGATTAGTTGGAGACGGAGTGAGAAATGGAGGGGACAACGCGTGACACTTCAAAAACCAACATACATGCTCAATTTTTTCTTTTTCTTTTTAAATAAAAATTCTCCATTTATTTCTTATTATGTTGTAAAATCAAACTGCTTTTTCCTTTTCGTTTTTGTTCTTGTTTTTTTGGTTTTTGGTTTGGGAGTTCTAATCAAATGAAAAGGGGCAAAAAAAAAAAGACTAAAAATAGTGAAAACTGAAACACATCTGGAATTTGGAATTTGGAATTTGGGTTGTAATCATTAGTTCTTAACCAACCATCACACCACTCTCACCCCCTACCCTCTTATTAATTCATTTCCCTTTCAAACGGTTTTTTTTTATAATTATTTCATTTTTTTTGTTTTTTATTTTGAAAATTAAACTTGTAAATATGTATTTATTTGTTTTGGTAACTACTTTTTTTTAAATAAAATAAAATTTAAGCAAAATTTTGAAAACTAATTTTTTTTTTTTTTTAAATTTGGTTAAGAATGCAAATCAACATATGTGTTTTCAAAAAAAGTAAAATCCTAATTAAAAACTTGTGACCAAATAAACATAATTTTAGGAAACATAAACTAAAAAGGAAATGGAAGAAGACCTCAAGATTTACTTTTACGATGGAATGACAATGAAACAAGATAGAGAAGCAGTTTGTTTGATAATGTTTAAGTTTCTTGTTTTTTATTTTCAAATTTATTAAGAAACGTAAACATTTGACATCTATTTATATTTGTTGGGAACATTCTCAAAATTAATATATTTTTTATATAATAATAAAACTACCCACTTTAAATATATCATAAACTTTTCCTCACTTTATATAAGTTTATAAGAGAAAATTTACAGTACTATCATGAATATTCCATTCCATTCATTGTTTGTCACGTCGACATCATATTAAAAATGATGTGAGGTCTACCAATATTAAAATATTATTTGTAAAAGCAAAATCATAGTGTGAATAAAGAGAGTATGATACTTTCATAGTATTGAAATTTTTTCCAATTTAGAGGATTAATTTATAGATTAATTGTGACATATAGTGATATAGATTATTTGCTCATTATTACTGTTGAAGCAGAATTTGTATTTCGATCTAGATTTTGAATGCTTTGAACACATGCGTACATAAGAAATCTACTCATCTTATTTATAGATTAGTCTTCTTAAGTTAGCTCGGGTAGACCATCTCAATCGAGTCGAGTCTACTCTGGTTGGATAATTAAATCCAAATGACTTGTTTGATTTGTCGCTTCACTTCAAGGAAAGCTTAGTACATTTCACCCACAAAACAACTACGTTTATATTAATTAAATGGTTTGATTAATTTTTTTAATAAAATCAAAACTATATTTATCATTATAGAATAAAAATGGGGTTTTTTTTTTTTAAAAAAAACGCACACTAATCATTACAGTGTAGTAGCTGAAAATAATTAATGGTTTGGTATATATATTATTCTGTATTATTTTCAAAGAAGGGTTCAATTAGGGGAGGGAAGCCAAGCCGTCACCTACCAAAATCCAATAAATCTGAATATGAACTAAAGCAATGAAAAAGATAAAGCAATAACATATTCTGGGAAAAAAAAAAAGGACAAAAAATGGCACTAAGCCAAAAGCCATTTATAATTAACTAATGCATCTTAATTAGATTGGATATAATATAACTTTTGTAAAAGAGAGCATCTCGTCCAGATTACTACAGTTTTAACCATTTTTTGCACGTTTTTTTAATTTTTGGAAGCTTCTAAGCCGCAAATTAAAATTTCCCACATTTCACTAATTTCTCTTTATTTTAGTTATTAAAATTATATTTTGGTCAACATAGATCATTCTATTTCGGCCAATGAAATTTTGAGGTATTTATTTTTAAGTTCGTTCTCATTTTCAGTCTATGAACTTCATAAATACATTTCATTTCATGAATTTTTTAGAAAAAAAGTAATTATTTTATCCCTCTACTTTACTTTTAACCCATCTAAATATTTCGTAGCAAATCATATGAATGATGAAAATGATTACATTTTGAAAAGTTGGTACACTAAAATAAAATATTTTAATATTTTAGGATCAAAATATTTTTTTCCTTCCTATTATTGATGAACTAAAATAAAATAATTTACAAGTTCAGGAACGAAAATGATATATAGACATATTAATAGAAAACGTTAACGATGTAAAATAATAAATAATTAAAAATTAAAAATTAAAAACATTCTCGTTGATTTATTTATATTAGTGGGTGAGAAATGTCATTCTAATTTGTTAATTTGTTATTTTGACCAGTCTGACACATTTATTTGTTTATTATTTCCTAAATATTGGAAACTAATGAATTTATTAGATAAATTTTACTCTATAACATAAATCTAGTTTAATAAATTTTACTCTATAACATAAATCTAGTTTGTATTTTAGACGGTTAATCTGATCATATCTCAACTAGTTAAGACACCAATATCTAATTAAAAATCCGCGAGTTTGAGTTTTCACCCTACATGTGTACCAAAAAAAATTGTATTTTAAAAAACACATCACAATAAATAAATAAATAAATAAATATAAATATATATATATATATATGTATATATATATTTTGTGTGCATAAATTAAACTTTTCTTAATGTATTTTAAACCATATTTGAATTTGACTTTCATTTGGTAAAATTTTAAACTTTATACTATATTTAGAAGTAAATATTTATTTTAGTAAAGGTCTCATTCATTAATTGATTCAAATATAAACTCTAAATTATTTTTAATAAACACAATTTCAAAGAATTAAGAGATAATTATCATTCCAAAATTTTGAATCAGATGTAGAGTAATAATTTGTCAACCGGAAAAGGGATTACTCGGCCTTCTTTCCAAAATAAAAAGAGATTACCCGTACCTAGACGATCTTTTAAATAATTAAAAAATAAATAAAAATCCACGTCAGTTGCAAAGACGGAGCGTTGACTGTTTGACCACACAAGAAAGAGAAATGTGCGATTCTCTGATTGGACGCACGGAGTATTATTATTATATTGAAAAATATATTCTTTAAAATGGATGCTCTTGCAAATTTCCATTGCCTGTCCTTATTATCATTAATATTATTTTTATACTAAAAAGTGGGATTCTCATTTCCACGAAAACATTATGCTAAAAAAAAAATATGTAACATGTGCACATCCGCTTTTCACTTTCAGTATCGATATCTTTCCGCTTCATTTATTTATTCTTTTATTTAGTAAAGATTAGGTATATATGGATTTCACAGCTTAGATCAACATACAGGAATGAAAGAGACATCTTGAAAAAAGGGTACGAACACGAATAAAAAAGACAACATCAATGGATCATAATTTCAGTCAAAATGTTGTTTGTTCTTTTTCTAATTTTAAAATAATTAAAAGAAATAAATTTTGTATTTAAACAATCTTTTTAATATTATGTAAAAGATGAGTGAGTTATATTAATTTTCACCCTAAAATTTTCATTTTATTATATTGGAGTCTAAGTTTTTGTCTAAGAGGATATGCTACGCCCGATTTCCTTCTACTTCAAAATAATGAAATATGAGAGATGTCTGAATATGTAGAATCTAAATAATTGAACATTTAAATAAGAGGCCCAAGCCCAAGACCAAGCCGGCAATTAGTTCTTCAGTTTGTTTTCACATTATTTGGTGACAATCTAAATCTAGTCATAGTTTTCCATCCGTGAGAGGGGGTGAAAAATCATGTTTGTGACATTAATAATAATAATAATAATAATAAAAGTACTAACATTTTTTTAAATACAACATATTAAAATCAAGTAATGGAGCTGACTTTCAAAATAATAATAATAATAATAATAAAATTTTTGTTTTTTTAACAATCTTGTATTACTCGAATGAAACGAACAACCATCTAACCAACTAACTTTAGATCAAATTATTGAAAGTTTAATAATCAAAATTAAATAAACATAAAAATTCATAAAATGCAAAATATGAGAAAATTGTACTTATTATTTGTCTCCACACGTTTGCGCACCATACTTGGATTTTTTTTTTTAATAATGTTAATTTTTAAAATATTTACCAAAATATACCTCATCTCAAACTAATTACAAGAATAATGTTTTGAAATTCATAGGTCGTNGTTAATTTTTAAAATATTTACCAAAATATACCTCATCTCAAACTAATTACAAGAATAATGTTTTGAAATTCATAGGTCGTCTCTTCAAGAGACGATCATGCCTTTTTTTTTCTTTTTTTTTTTAAAATAACCTAATTAGTTTTTTTTACTTTGGTCGACGACCATCGCTTTTTTTTAATACTTTGGTCGTCTCTTTCTTAATTGGTATATTTATTTATATTTAAAAGTTTGTTAATACCATACTGCAATTAGAAAATGATATTTTTAATTTATCAAATTAGAGAATTATAATTAATTTAACAATACTATCATTCGAGATATGAAAAAAATATTAATTAATATGTATAATTACAGCTGARTAACCATAATCAACCATTATAGTCTATCAATCAATCTAATGTGTCCCACATGAGGGAGGTCGTCGATGACGATGCGGCTGTCGACGACGAGCTCTCGGTGCCTCTGGTGT